GAACCAATTAGCAGAACCATTAGCAGAACCTTTGGAAGAACCATTAGCAGAACTTTTAGCAAAACCTTTAGCAGAACCTTTAGCAGAATCTTTAGCAGAACCAATTAGCAGAACCATTAGCAGAACCTTTGGAAGAACCATTAGCAGAACCATTAGCAAAACCATTAGCAAAACCTTTAGCAGAATCTTTAGCAGAACCATTAGCAGAACCTTTAGCAGAACCAATTAACAGAACCATTAGCAGAACCATTAGCAGAACCTTTAGCAGAACCAATTAGCAGAACCATTAGCAAACAAATGAGCAGAACCATTAGCAGAACCATTAGCAGAACCTTTAGCAGAACCAATTAACAGAACCATTAGCAGAACCTTTAGCAGAACCAATTAACAGAACCATTAGCAGAACCATTAGCAGAACCTTTAGCAGAACCAATTAGCAGAACCATTAGCAAACAAATGAGCAGAACCTTTAGCAGAACCATTAGCAGAACCTTTAGCAGAACCAATTAGCAGAACCTAACTAGCCACGTAACTTACTAGTTAACTTACCAAGTAGCTACCTAAATATCTAGATACATAGCTAATTAACTAACTATATAAATAGATAAATAACTAGCTGGCTAACTAACTACATTAACCAGCCTTGGCGTTATATTCTGAACAGCCTCATTAACATGAACAAAAGTTCAAAGAAAGCAGTTAGCAAAACCTTTAGCAGAACCATTAGCAGAACCATTAGCAGAACCATTTAGCAGAACCTTTAGCAGAACCATTAGCAGAACCTTAAGCAGAACCATTAGCAAAACCTTTAGCAGAACCATTTAGCAGAACTGTTAGCAGAACCATTAGCAAAACCTTTAGCAGAACCATTTAGCAGAACCTTTAGCAGAACCTTTAGCAGAACCATTAGCAAAACCTTTAGCAGAACCATTTAGCAGAACCGTTAGCAGAACCTTTAGCAGAACCATTAGCAGAACCATTAACAGAACCATTAGCAAAACCTTTAGCAGAACCATTAGCAGAACCTTTGGAAGAACCATTAGCAGAACTTTTAGCAAAACCTTTAGCAGAACCATTAGCAAAACCATTAGCAAAACCTTTAGCAAAACCTTTAGCAGAACCATTAGCAGAACCTTTAGCAGAACCATTAGCAGAACCTTTAGCAGAACCAATTAGCAGAACCATTAGCAAACAAATGAGCAGAACCTTTAGCAGAACCATTAGCAGAACCTTTAGCAGAACCATTAGCAGAACCTTTAGCAGAACCAATTAGCAGAACCATTAGCAGAACCTTTAGCAAAACCTTTAGCAGAACCTTTACCAGAACCTTTAGCAGAACCATTAGCAGAACCTTTAGCAGAACCTTCAGTAGAACCTTCAGTAGAACCTTCAGCAGAACCATTAGCAGAACCTTTAGCAGAACCATTGGCAGAACCTTTAGCACAACATTTAGCAGAAACTTCAGCAGAACCTTCAGCAGAACCTTTAGCAGAACCTTCAGTAGAACCATTATTAGAACCTTTAGCAGAACCTTCAGTAGAACCTTTAGCAGAACCTTTAGCAGAACCTTCAGTAGAACCTTCAGTAGAACCATTAGCAAACACCATTAGCACAACATTTAGCAAAACTTTTAGCAGAACCTTTAGCAGAACCATTAGCAGAACCTTCAGTAGAACCTTCAGTAGAACCTTCAGTAGAACCTTTAGCAGAACCATTTAGCAGAACCGTTAGCAGAACCTTTAGCAGAACCATTAGCAGAACCATTAGCAGAACCTTTAGCAGAACCTTTAGAAGAACCATTAGCAGAACCTTTAGCAGAACAATTAGCAGAACCTTTAGCAGAACCATTAGCAGAACAATTAGCAGAACCTTTAGCAGAACCATTAGCAAAACCTTTAGCAGAACCATTTAGCAGAACTGTTAGCAGAACCTTTAGCAGAACCATTAGCAGAACCATTAGCAGAACCTTTAGCAGAACCTTTAGAAGAACCATTAGCAGAACCTTTAGCAGAACAATTAGCAGAACCTTTAGCAGAACCATTAGCAAAACCTTTAGCAGAACCATTTAGCAGAACCGTTAGCAGAACCTTTAGCAGAACCATTAGCAGAACCTTTAGCAGAACCAATTAGCAGAACCATCAGCAGAACCTTTAGCAAAACCTTTAGCAGAACCTTTACCAGAACCTTTAGCAGAACCATTAGCAGAACCTTTAGCAGAACCTTCAGTAGAACCTTCAGTAGAACCTTCAGCAGAACCATTAGCAGAACCTTTAGCAGAACCATTGGCAGAACCTTTAGCACAACATTTAGCAGAAACTTCAGCAGAACCTTCAGCAGAACCTTTAGCAGAACCTTCAGTAGAACCATTATTAGAACCTTTAGCAGAACCTTCAGTAGAACCTTTAGCAGAACCTTTAGCAGAACCTTCAGTAGAACCTTCAGTAGAACCATTAGCAAACACCATTAGCACAACATTTAGCAAAACTTTTAGCAGAACCTTTAGCAGAACCATTAGCAGAACCTTCAGTAGAACCTTCAGTAGAACCTTCAGTAGAACCTTTAGCAGAACCATTTAGCAGAACCGTTAGCAGAACCTTTAGCAGAACCATTAGCAGAACCATTAGCAGAACCTTTAGCAGAACCTTTAGAAGAACCATTAGCAGAACCTTTAGCAGAACAATTAGCAGAACCTTTAGCAGAACCATTAGCAGAACAATTAGCAGAACCTTTAGCAGAACCATTAGCAAAACCTTTAGCAGAACCATTTAGCAGAACTGTTAGCAGAACCTTTAGCAGAACCATTAGCAGAACCATTAGCAGAACCTTTAGCAGAACCTTTAGAAGAACCATTAGCAGAACCTTTAGCAGAACAATTAGCAGAACCTTTAGCAGAACCATTAGCAAAACCTTTAGCAGAACCATTTAGCAGAACCGTTAGCAGAACCTTTAGCAGAACCATTAGCAGAACCATTAGCAAAACCTTTAGCAGAACCATTAGCAAAACCATTAGCAAAACCTTTAGCAGAACCATTAGCAGAACCTTTGGAAGAACCATTAGCAGAACTTTTAGCAAAACCTTTAGCAGAACCATTAGCAGAACCATTAGCAGAACCTTTAGCAGAACCAATTAGCAGAACCTTTAGCAGAATCTTTAGCAGAACCATTAGCAGAACCTTTAGACGAACCAATTAGCAGAACCATTTAGCAGAACCGTTAGCAGAACCTTTAGCAGAACCATTAGCAGAACCATTAGCAAAACCTTTAGCAGAACCATTAGCAAAACCATTAGCAAAACCTTTAGCAGAACCATTAGCAGAACCTTTGGAAGAACCATTAGCAGAACTTTTAGCAAAACCTTTAGCAGAACCATTAGCAGAACCATTAGCAGAACCTTTAGCAGAACCAATTAGCAGAACCTTTAGCAGAATCTTTAGTAGAACCTTTAGCAGAACCTTTAGCAGAACCTTCAGTAGAACCTTCAGTAGAACCATTAGCAAACGCCATTAGCACAACATTTAGCAAAACTTTTAGCAGAACCTTTAGCAGAACCATTAGCAGAACCTTCAGTAGAACCTTCAGTAGAACCTTCAGTAGAACCTTTAGCAGAACCATTTAGCAGAACCGTTAGCAGAACCTTTAGCAGAACCATTAGCAGAACCATTAGCAGAACCTTTAGCAGAACCTTTAGAAGAACCATTAGCAGAACCTTTAGCAGAACAATTAGCAGAACCTTTAGCAGAACCATTAGCAGAACAATTAGCAGAACCTTTAGCAGAACCATTAGCAAAACCTTTAGCAGAACCATTTAGCAGAACTGTTAGCAGAACCTTTAGCAGAACCATTAGCAGAACCATTAGCAGAACCTTTAGCAGAACCTTTAGAAGAACCATTAGCAGAACCTTTAGCAGAACAATTAGCAGAACCTTTAGCAGAACCATTAGCAAAACCTTTAGCAGAACCATTTAGCAGAACCGTTAGCAGAACCTTTAGCAGAACCATTAGCAGAACCATTAGCAAAACCTTTAGCAGAACCATTAGCAAAACCATTAGCAAAACCTTTAGCAGAACCATTAGCAGAACCTTTGGAAGAACCATTAGCAGAACTTTTAGCAAAACCTTTAGCAGAACCATTAGCAGAACCATTAGCAGAACCTTTAGCAGAACCAATTAGCAGAACCTTTAGCAGAATCTTTAGCAGAACCATTAGCAGAACCTTTAGCAGAACCAATTAGCAGAACCATTAGCAGAACCATTAGCAGAACCTTTAGCAGAACCAATTAGCAGAACCATTAGCAGAACCATTAGCAGAACCTTTAGCAGAACCAATTAGCAGAACCATTAGCAGAACCTTTGGAAGAACCATTAGCAGAACTTTTAGCAAAACCTTTAGCAGAACCTTTAGCAGAATCTTTAGCAGAACCAATTAGCAGAACCATTAGCAGAACCTTTGGAAGAACAATTAGCAGAACCATTAGCAAAACCATTAGCAAAACCTTTAGCAGAACCTTTAGCAGAACCTTCAGTAGAACCTTCAGTAGAACCTTTGGTTTCTAACTGGTTCCCTGATCCAGATGTTCAGCAGCTGTTTAAATCAATCCTGAGGGAAGAAGCTGAAACTAGAAGATTTTAAAGTGAGATGATGATGATGGTGATGATGATGATGGTGATGATGAGGATGGTGATGATGAGGATGATGAGGATGATGATGATGATGATGATGATGATGAACTCTGACATGTTTAGTTTGGATCAGAACTTGGTTCTGGTTCTGTGGAGGTCCAGTCAGCTGGACTTCCTGCTGGTTCCTCTGGTTCTCAGTGGTTCCGGCGGCTGCAGCATCTGGACCGATTCGGTTCGGATGGACTGAACTGGGTCCAGATGAAGCAGCGGGAGTTGAACCAGCGAGGCTGAAGCAAGGCAGCAGCTGAGCTGGTTCTGCTGGTTCGGTTCCGGTGGTCCACTGTGGTCCACTCAGCCCACCGGACCGGACCGATACTCACCGAACTTTGGCGGAGCAGAAGGCATCAGTCCTCAGGTTCCTCTTCTTGGACCCAGCGGCTCCCATCCTGAAGAGGAGCAGAACCGGAACCAGAACCAGAACATCCCACAGACTGACTGAAGGGAAACAATCGGAACCGGACCCCATCCGAACCCAGCGGACCTGGAGCGGACTGCTGAGCGGCTCTGCCTCCGAAGCTGCTTCCAGGCAGGAAGTCTGTCCATATAAGGAAAGCCGCTGCGTGACCCGCACAGGCGCGGGGAGGGCAGCTGCTGCGGAGCACTGACTCCAGCGGAACCGGTTCGACCCATTTTCCTCTTCCTGGACCCACATTTCTCCTTCAGTCACAAACTTTGTTCTTAAAACCTGGAAGCTGAAGATGAAAAGCAGCAGAAACAGACCGAACCTGATCTAACATGTCCTTCAGTTTCACACCAGGACATTATATGAAAGCCAACAACAAAAAACACTTTATAGAAAATAAGTTTGCTTTTGTCCATAAATGTTTCCCCTCTGAGGCTCTGAAGGTTAATCTGGGTTCTGCATGGTCCAACATGGCGTCACAAACCTAAAAAAGTTTTAGACTGGAGAATCTTTCAGCTTTACATTTAAAAATAAAAGCTTTATTTTCTGAGAATGTGATTATTTATGAGCAACTATGCAAATGAACAAACATCCAGAAAAACTTGAATATATTCTATTATTTTCCATATTATTTTCTAATAAGTGCTTTAAATCAGTCCTAGCTGATTTAAAGCACAAACAAAATCTGTTAATTAAATTTTTGAAAAATCTGTTTCATTAAACTTTATTTGTTGTGATATTTGAACCTTATATCAATCCACTTTATTCATAATTTAAACAGCTGTGCATTAATTTTAACACATTTAACTCCTGCTTTGATTTGAAAACAGATCAGGGGGAAGAATGAGGCACGGAAACTAGAAACTGTCCTTATTTTACAGTTTAATCTTAATTATTCACTCATTTCTATTTTACCAAGACAAAAATAACTAAATGATCATTTCACAAATGGACAACATACAATAGTTAGAGTGGATCCACAACTACAGACAACATATAAAACAAACAAAACACAAACAAGTGGCCATAATATAAAACTTTGTAATTATTGCATGTACTCGTGACGTCACCACATGCTCAGCTCGTCTAGAGCTGCATTTCACCTCCTGTTATTAAAAGTCTCTAGACTTTTTTCCTGCTGTTCCTGTCCGACTGTTCCTGTCCGACTGTTCCTGTCCGACTGTTCCTGTCCGACTGTTCCTGTCCGACTGTTCTGGTCCGACTGTTTCTGTCTGACTGTTCCTGTCCGACTGTTCTGGTCCGACTGTTTCTGTCCGACTGTTCCTGTCCGACTGTTCTGGTCCGACTGTTTCTGTCTGACTGTTCCTGTCCGACTGTTCCTGTCCGACTGTTCCTGTCCGACTGTTCCTGTCCGACTGTTCTGGTCCGACTGTTTCTGTCTGACTGTTCCTGTCCGACTGTTCTGGTCCGACTGTTTCTGTCTGACTGTTCCTGTCAGACTGTTCCTTTCCTGACTGTTCCTGTCTGATCAGTCAGTCTGACTGTTTCTTTCTGACCGTTCTGCCTAACTGTTCATTTCCAACTGTTACAGTCCAGCTGTTCCTTTCAGACTGATCAAAATGCTCCTGCCCGGCAGTTTCTGTCCGACTGTTCCTCTCTGACTGTTTCTGTCGGACTTTTCCTGCCCTGCTGTAGCTGTCCGACTGTCTCTGTCTGACTGTTCCTGTCCCAATGTTCCTGCCCAGCTGTCCATGTCTGACTGTGTCTGTCTGACTGTTTCTTTCCAGCTTTTCCTGTCCAGCTGTCCGTTCTTGTCAGGCAGTGTCTGTCCAATTGTTCCTGCCCAGCTGTTCATGTCTGACTTTGTCTGTCTGACTGTTCCTGCCCACCTGTTCTTTCCCGACTTTTCCTGCCCAGCTGTTTCTTTTTCCAGCTGTTCCTGCTCAGCTTTTCCTTTGTGACTGTTTCCGTCCAACTGTTCCTGTCCAGGTTTTCCTGTCCACTTGTTCCTGTCCAGCTGTTCCTTTCCAGATGTTCCTTCCAGCTGTTTCTGTCCAACTGTTCCTCTTTAACTGTTCCTGTCCTTTTGTTAATGTTCGACTGTTACTATACGACTGTTCCTCTCTAACTCTTCCTGTCCAGCTGATCCTGTATGGCTGTTCCTGTCCAGCTGTTCCTTTCCAGATGTTCCTTCCAGCTGTTCCTGTCTAACTGTTCCTGTCCTTTTGTTAATGTTCGACTGTTTCTGTCCGACTGTTACTATACGACTGTTCCTCTCTAACTCTTCCTGTCCAGCTGATCCTGTATGGCTGTTCCTGTCCAGCTGTTCCTTTCCAGATGTTCCTTCCAGCTGTTCCTGTCTAACTGTTCCTGTCCTTTTGTTAATGTTCGACTGTTTCTGTCCGACTGTTACTATACGACTGTTCCTCTCTAACTCTTCCTGTCCAGCTGATCCTGTATGGCTGTTCCTGTCCAGATGTGTCTTCCAGCTGTTCCTCTCTAACTGTTCCTGTCCAGCTGATCCTGCCCTGCTGATTCTGTCCTTTTGTTAATGTTCGACTGTTTCTGTCCGACTGTTCCTGCCTTTAAGCTGAAATCAGCCCTCCAGCCACTGGCAGCTCATATAAACTGACTACAAGGTTTAGAATAGTAAACAATGGAAACCTCAGAACTCACTGGTCCATCCTCTGGTTGTACGGTGACATTAATTCATCATTTGTAGTCTGGTACATGTTTGGATCACTTGTTCTCCAGGAAGCACCGACCCAGGAGCAGCCAGGAGGTTAGTGGGACGTTAAACTGATGACATTTTAAGTTCGTTTATGAGAAGTTCTTCTAGAAACTTCCTACTAGCAGGAAACTACAGTGAGGAACGTGGATGAGAAGCATGGCAGAGAACGGTCTGACTGTGTGCAACACGGTGGGATATTTGGTGGGTTTAAGCCCCTGATGATGAGAATGTTTATCTCCTCCCCCATTGATCAAATGCTAGTTATGTACTGGTTATTAACTGGTTAGTCTGGGTGTCTGACTGGTCCATATCTGTTTAGACACTCAGCATTTCATCATCGTTGTTTTCATTCGATCCTCTTCAAGCTGCAAATCAACCATGAGATGTTTCTGCTGTCAGTCGGTCTGATGGTAGATACACACCTGGATCCACACACACAGGTAGTTCATGGCGGTGTGCGTGCGGCGGCTTACCGTCTGCTGCATTCATCCCATAAACATTCATGTTCTATTCTTTCTGACTCCAGCACTGCTCTGCGTTTCTATGCCGTCGTGATAAATTAGGAAAAGCTGATTCCAGCTTCTTTCCGTGGACAATGATTCTCACGGCAGCACTCTTCCCTCTGAAGGTCACTTCCTCCTGGGATAAACAGTACGGCCTGGTCTGATGTTTGCCTGGACCGTCCTTCAGCTACAGATGGTTGGAGCGTCCATCTTTTCCCAGCAGCACCATCTGTCCAGCAGCTCCCTCCTTCTCTGCGTTTGACTCACGATGTCTGAACTATGAGCTCTCCCTCAGTTCAGCCTGATTATTCTTTGTTGTGGTTTAATATTTCCAGAAAATGTGTTTTTTTGGTCTTCGTCTCTTCGTGTTTCTCCTTGTTTCACTTGAAGTAACGTTAGTTCAGGACCAGTGTCCATCGATCCCTGGAATATTCCAGGGATGCATTTATCTGATTCATCCGATCGTATTGCTTTCCTTGGAACTGACAGAGGCCCTTCCAGGGTGTCCTGTCTCTGTTCAGTGGGTAGACTGGGATCACATGTCAGTTGGTGCTACAGTTAATCAGGAACATATTGTTGTTGGAAACAGAAAGCCTTCATTATGGATCTGAATCTCATCTCCTCTTCATCTGCTCCTGAATCATCCTCCTGTCGGTTACCGTGGCGTCAGCCGTTACGTCCTCACTGAACATCCTGCTAACAGAGCAACTGATTTAGTCAGAGGCGCTGTATGGGGGGGGAGTAAGGACAATCCTAAGGGCCCTTGACTGAGGGGGGGGGGGGCAAAAGAAGAAGAAAAGATTAGTCCCGCTCTATTTTTCAAATAAAGATCATGTTCTTTTTCATTTTTCAGCAGTAAACAGTGAAACAAAGCATGGATTTATAGACGCACCCCCCCCCCCCCCTCAGATTGCAATCAATAGTTTGGTCCTCAGGTCCTGCATCAGGTCTCCCCACCTGTCAGCGGCGGTTTGCTCGTACCGGGGCCTAAATACCTCGTCATTTGATGTAGTGATAAAGAAAGAAGCAAATTAACAAGAAAACGTATAAATAAGCGGCGCCTAAATCTGGGTTTTAAAAAGAAAACTGAAAGATTTATTAACCGAATAGTTCAAGTTTAACTTTAATGAACTTAATCTACTGAACTAAACCTGAGCTTAGTGAGTTTCACTATTTTAGTTTAAGAGTTTTTAACTGAAATATGTTGGAGCTGAATTATTTATATTATAAAAATATCAACAAAACTTATATTTCTAATAGAATTTGTGGATAATTGATTCTAAAATGAGGTAAAGGCATTGCTGTTTTATTTACATTAAGTTTAGTTTCCCTGTATGAGAATATTTTTTATTAGTTTATTTAACCTGGTGCGTCTGGGATGAATAAAGGAATAATTATGTTTCTCCTAATTACACTGATCAGATTTCATGTTGTGTGGAATTTTCCTCTGATTGTTGCATTTTCTGCTCTTCACTTGCTCCTTGGTAGCAGTGATGAAGATCAGCTCCTCCTCCTCAGAGGGCCTTCCTGCCTGATCCTCAGCAGAGATTAACCATGGTGGGGATCAAAGATCTGGCTTTACTGTTGGTCCGTCACTATCCACAGGACTCGTCTCATCAGGACTAGTCCTGATGAGACGCTGCTGGACACATCTGGACACATCTGGACTTCAGACTTCATTTAGTGTCCCATACTGAAGCGAATGCATGCAGAGAAACGCATCAGGCAGGGTGATGAATATGAATGAATCTGAAGACCTTTCTGGAATTAACATCAATATTTGAAATCAAATCTGACGCTCTGATGATTTTTTTCCCATAAACTTCTGAGGCCATTAAACGCATCGATCAGCTATAGAATAATAATCTCTGCCTTCCGCAACTTTTATACTCTTGAGTATTGATAAAGAATT